CCATCCGACGTCCGAGCATGTTGGCATGGTTGACATTATCATGTCAACCATGCCAACATCGTAAACAACCACCATCTCCTTCCAGCGGTCTCCTTCAGCCCCTCCAGCCACCGCGGTACCCCTTCGAGGTTGTCAAAATTGATATTTTTGGTACTCTGCCTTTATCAACAGCTCAGAATCACTATATCATTGTGGCTATTGACCACGCGCCCAGATACGTTGAGACCGCATCCCTTCATGAGGCCACTGCCAAAGCCATCGCACGGTTCATCCTCCACAACATTCTGAATAGTTACCGCGGAAAATCCTTCTTTTCAAGAACTGTTGAAGCCTTACTGCAAGCCTGCAATGTTGATCACTGACTGACATCACCTTATTAGCCGCAAACCAACGGCCTTACAGAACGCTTCAACCATACACTCGCGGACATGCTCTCTATGTCCATTGCCAACACCCACTCCAACTGGGACACCATGTTACCATTTGACACATTTGCCTATAACTCAGCCATTCAATCCATGACTGGATTCTCACCCTTTTATTTGCTGCACGGCCGTGAGCCTTCTATCCACACCGGACACTATTATTCAATACCCGTCTGACATTCTCGACGAGGATAGCAATTCACAAGCCTCCTACCGTGCAGAGGCTTGCCGCCAACTCGCCCGTACACGCACATTACTCCATCAACAAGCCTCCAAATGCTCTTATGAAGACCGACATCAGAATCACCAATTTAATGCAATGACCTCATACTCGTATATTTTCCTATCTGCCAGCTTGGGCTCTCTGAAAAACTCCTCCCAAAATACCAAGGACCATATCGAGTCATTTGCCAAACATCCCCTGTCAACTACCTCGTGGAGCCTGAACAGCCTTCATCTGATCGCCGCAACCGTGGTCGGCATGTTGTGCATGTCGGTCGGCTCAAGCATTTCAAACCTCGCCAGCCCCAACCTTAGCATGCTGGCTCCACCTTTCGGCCAGGATGGCCTTCTCCGAAGAGGCAGCATTTGTGGCGACCAAGTGGCGTGCCCAGTGCTGTCAACTTGGGTGCCGATGTGCTCGAGGGACAGCGCGTGCTCAGGCGTGTTTGCGCGCGCGTTTCAGAATAGGTTCAGTCTTGGCTGGGCAAACTGTCGTCTCCGCCTGCTTATTCTTTGCCCCCTAAACACCCTCACAATATGTTAATTTACGCTCCAGTTGAAATTTCCGTGCGTCTCTGCTAACACCGAAGGCCGCGACAAATGGGACCCTACTAAATATTGCATCTAAGAGCCACTAAATACAGTAGAGCGTAGTTGGTAAAGATGGAAAAAGATAGTGTTTGTGATCATTTACGAGCACGCTTAGCCACGAACTCCACACAGCACCCGCAACAAAACAAAAAAAACAAAAAAGCTCTCGATCCATAGACTAAAGTTAAGCAAGGAACAAAAAGAAAGCTCACTAAATTTAGGCAAGAAAAAAGAAAGGCAAAAAGAGAAGAAAAAAAATGGGCAAAGCATTAACGGTGAAAGAAAAAGTTAAGCAAAGTGAGGCGATCAAAGTGTGATTGCTCAACCGTTGTCGACACACTCGACTTGACGAAGTTTTTCTTTTTGGCTTATTTTATTTTGGGGCTAAGGAGTCGCACAGTGACAGCGGTGTTCGGGGAAAGAGCGCACGCTATTGTTCCAACAGTTCCAACAGCGGGCACTCCCTGCCCTCCCTATGAGCGCGTGCCCTTTTGCCCTTGCTTTTGCCATCCCCACTTTTTTTTTTTTTTAACGGTTGCCCTTTTTTTTGCTGTGTATCCCCGCATGTATGCTGGCTTGGCAGTCAGCCAGCTCCGTAACGCGAGCTATGTGCTCGCCACCTGCGCAATCCGACCCCGGGAGAAGCGAGGGGCCGCAGTGCTTCGTTCACCATATCGAGTGTCCCTGCCATGGGAGTTCGACACAGAAAAACAACGCTCCTATACACTCCGTGCGGGAACTATAGGGGGCGCTTTGAAAAACGCGCGCAGCGCCGCTAGCGGAGGAGCTGGCGTTCGACTGTGAGGCGCGTTCAGCAGCCTGCGGCGCCTTTTCGCATGCAAGCTGTGGCGGCAGAAGCGCGCACGGACGAAACTTTTGCTTTTTTAGCCGATAAGTTGAGTGTGACGTTGCATGAGTGCTGGGGCAGAAGGGCATTTAGCTGTTCTCCACTTCTTATATATTGAGTTTGAGTCGTAATTAGGGTTAATTTCTCTAGTTGCGACCGAAAAAGGAGTTGGAGTAATTTTCCGAAAAACAAGACGGCCGCCACCTTAATTGCTCCGAGTGGGAAATTTATTTCGCTCGTCGCTGTAAACCTAGGACTGCTGGAACGATGATATTTGGAGGCGAGTGAGAGGTTCACTAAGTTTTTGCACGAAGAGAGCCAAGTTTCTTTAAGACAGCAGGTGTGAAGTTATGTTTCTAACGAATAAAGAAATAAAGCTGTACGGGATATCCAATATTGGACCCAAAATGTTGTGTTATAGCGGGCTGTGCAAAGTGCAGATTTGGGCACACATGTGCTTGGACTTGACAGTAACATGACACAGCACTTATTATACAAAAAAGGTGGCATAGGGAAACCAGGTGAAAATTTGGTTTGGGCGGCGTAACCCAATGGGAACCGGTTTTGACCATGAAAAGGCTGTCAAGAGAATACCACTGGTCGGGAGAGGTGGAGACTTTAGAGGTAGGAAGGCACTAGTGGACTGCACTTCCAATTGAAACAACTTTACGAAAGGTGGTTCCTAACCCCAGAAAACAAAGTTGTCGGCCAACACACGGTTTGGCCGCCAAGGGCTTTTGCGGTCAGCTGTTGTGTAATAACCTCTTGTGCGAGGTGGTGATTTTCGGCGCACAGGTACTTTGACATGACCGTCACTTGGCACAACACTTATTATAACAAAAAGAGTGGGCATAGCGAGACCAGGTGGAAATTTAGTTTGGGCGGCGTAACTAAATGGGAACTGGCTTTGACCGTCAAAGGCTGTCAGATAATACCACTCATCGTGGGAGGTGCACACTTTACAGGTAGGAAGGGACCAGTGGACGGTACTTCCAGTTTGAACCACTTTGCGATAGGTGGCTCTATAGCCGAGAAAAAAAAATGTTGTCTACAGAACTCTGGGTGTCAGCGTTTCCACATCCAAAAGGAGGCTGGTCAAGAAAGAAAGCACACCACATAAACTTCCATACTCAAACGTCGATTCTCCAGTGATTCCGAGTTTCATTGTTGTTTTCTTTAGATTTATATTTGCCACTTTTTTTACCTTTCTAATCTTTCTTTATGAAGTACAGATTGCGTGCCATACTTGTCCGGAAATATCATCGACACGTACGATAAGGACGAAACTTCTTTGGAGGGCATTCCTCCAACGAAATTGGCACTGCATACCTGCGAGTGTAGGTTCGTCCCATCGGCGCTGACACATGTAGGCGTTACTGGTACGAAAACAAACGCAGAGCGCAAAGCGGCAGTGTAGAATATGTCAGCCGTGCCGACACAGTGGCAGACATGATCGGGAGACTAAATTTCTCACGTCGTACGGCACGGCTCCATCGTTGTCGCTGTCCCACAAAACATCGGCGAGGTGAAAAACTGTGACACTTTGTCTCCACGAGATATGACGCATAACTATTGAAGCACTTAATGACGCAGCACAGGCAGCACTTCATGCTGTGAACCCAGCGCAACCGCACCACTCCGACTTCAATGCGTACCAACGTACGTGGCGTGGTTTCGGTTTCGTTTTCAATGGGGTTCTCGCTGCCTACCTTCGGTACCGGCCGCGCGGCGGCGCGCCAGTCGCGTCGCACGGAGTGTATACTATTACATGAGATTTTCAAGGGGATGTTTGGACTGTTCGATAAAAACAATAATTCAAAATACCCGAGTTAGATATAACCGGGCTCGACTGTCTTGTATAATGTCAACCTTGAATGCAAAGAACTTTCAGCCTTTCCACTCTGGTGAAGAAGGAAGACCAGCGAAGCTGCACTATGGTGGGACGACCTCAAGGACGACTTCTTGGACGACCTGAAGAACGACGCCTAGAGGACAACGTCCAAGACTACCTCAAGGATGACTTCTAGGACGACCTCAAAAACAACCTCTAGGACAATCTTGAGGACGACGCCTAGAGAACGATGCCTAGGACGACCTCAGGGACGACGTTTAGGACGACCTCAAGGACAATGTCTAGAACGACCTCAGGGACGTCTCGGACGACCTCAAGGACAACGTCTAGGACGACCTCAAGGATGACTTCTAGGATTACCTCGAGGACGTCTAGGACAACCTCAAGGACGACTTCGAGGATGACGTCTAGGATGACCTCAAGAACGACCTCAAGGATGACTTCTAGGACGACCTGATGGTGACTTCTTGGACAACCTCAAGAACGACGTCTAAGACGACCTCAAGGACATTGTTTTTGTCATTTTCTGCACACGGTGGTTCACAAGGACCGATAGAGTTATCTTACGACGCTCCTTGTGGTTTGTCTCTGCGTCCCACGCTCGCGTAAGAAAACATTCCGTTTCTGTGTCCCATCACGTAAAAAAAGTGCGAGAAAACGAGACACGTGGAAACTAACAACGGGTTCAGAGAAAGGAGATAAAGCGTAATACACTGCCTGATTGAGCCGTTGTAAGTCCTATTGTTTCTGCGTAGACACCTTAGGTGGGCGCAGCCAACACCACCTGGAAGACGAGGCCTGTGCACGATGTCGTTGTCAGAGGATCCCCGACCCGCCCCAAGTGGTAACTTGACGGGAGACAACGCAAAGTAGTAGATGTGTCCGTCTCAGTTTCGCCACCTGCTAGTGTCACGCTCGTTGCTACACGACGTGCTGGCAGCAATGCTAACGCAAGGTAAGCGCCGCTGCACGGATCCACTAGTGACGACGTTTGGGGGCAAAGGCAGAAGCCTCATCTTCCAGGTGGTATTGGCGCAGACCCCTCACAAACATGTGGCCTCACAGTGTCGAATCGTCGAGGTGCCTCGCCAAGTAGTCTGTGGCAGAGGGCAGCAGAGGCGCGGCCGCGTCACCCGGCTGTGCCAGCAGGTACAGCAGCCCGTGCAGTGACAGCAGCTGCGTCGACGGCATCGGGCTGTGCAGTCCGAGATCCACAAACTTGCGCATCTTCTCCTGCATGTCCCAATCCTGTCGGGGGAAGGACGCGTGCATTTCAACGGCGCAACCTACGTGCGTGCCAATATGCATTTTTGTTTACCACATTAAAATCTGCTTGCCAATTCAAATACTTTTCGATACGAATATATTACATTTAATGTGTATGGGGCGTGACTGCTTTAATAAATCGAGACTGGAAATCTTCTCTAGAAAGCACATCTATGAAAAGGAAGAGATTTTTATGCGAGAAACATTCTTGTATCGTAAACTTGTATATTAAGAAAAAAAAGGTGCTAGAGAGAAAATGGGTGAAACATCATGTAACCTGGTTAGCAAAGCAATGACTACCCTACTTAATTGCAGCAAGTTACTAGCTTATTTTATGATGCTCCTTTATGTTTGTTGCCACGCCCCTTGCATGCGCAAGAACATAGTCTTTTTGCATATGCTATACATCCAGAGCATCAATGAAACAAGCTATATCGAAACTAACACCAGACTTTAAAGGGAATGAATCAGTATACTATAAATAGTGAAACTTTTAATTCAGCTAATAAAAAAAAAAGGTTTTCCCTGGAGCAGTGGTACCACAGTAACCAAACTGCACCGGCCCATTGTGGACAAGAAGAGAGACCCCACAGTACCAGGCCGACAACTGCTGCTGCCTTGGCGATGCCCAGGACCAGGTACTGAGCAAGCACTTCATCTTCGCTGGGGTGGTGCCGGTACATGTCCATGAAGAGGCTCAGCATCCAGTCGAACTGTGAGCTTTCCATGAAGATGTCCGAGAGCATCACCACCTGTGGGAGGGGGGGGGGGTAGTATCACTGCTCGACTGTCTGCTAGGACCCCTCAATAAGGCGGTTTTATGTGACGGACATCCGGCTCAAAATCTCGCTGGACGCCACGTTGACAAACTTTTGCCCTATGTCTTTTTATGCCTGAAGGCAGCGTTTTCCAGCTCGTTTGAGTTCCATCCTGTCGTGATCGAATGCACCGGCCAGAGCAGTAAGAAAGATAAAAGAGCATTGGCTGGTACTTAATTTTTATAAATGCCGGTCTTTATTCGGACTTAGTCATCAATTGAGAAGTCAATCGAGAAGCTGAATTGGCCGCAGTACGTGCCAGCGGGGTGACTCCGAAAGAAAAAAAATAATGAAAGCCGTTTACAACTCCCTGTAATGCCGAATTAGAGTGCAGCTCTTGAGGAGGAGGATGGAAGGGTACTGAGGAGAGGGTATACCCCTCCTCCCTCCTCCTCACCTCGTCATCCTGCCTGCTACTCCTCCCCTCCTCAGTGACGTCACGGGCATCACGTGACCTCAGGGGGGTCACGTGACCCCCGTTGGGTCAACGACGCTCAAGCCGGAAACGGACGCCCAAGAGCTGCACTCTGAAATATGTTAAATTAAGCTCGAGTTGAAATTTCCTGGTGAGTCTGCTAATACTGAAGGTCGCGACAAACGAGAGCTTACCAAATACAGTAGGCTCGCAATAATTTTAACTTTCATACTTCCGGTTAATTCAAACAGATTTGAAAATTTTGGTTGTCCCGCTATGTTTTTAATGTATTTATAAGCCGCTTAATTCAAACGTCTTTTTCGCTTAATTCATACTTTTCGTTCTCGCGACCTCGTTGAGTGCGCTTCTTTCCGAGCACTGGTGCGCTGCAGAGAAGCAACACTCGCGGAGCATGCTTCCGCGGGTGTTGCTTCCCCGCGGTGCACCGGTGCTCGGTGAGAAGTGCACTCAACGGGGCTCAAGTGGGCACACATGAGCTCTGAAAACGGGCACCACGCAGACATTTCCATAGTAACTTGCACGGACGCTGTGACGAGGCGGCATGGCATAGGTCCACGTCACAGCGTCCGCGCAAGTTGCTATGGAAACTGCCGCGTGGTGCCAGTTTTCATTGCTCATGTGTTCCTTGCTTAATAGTCCACATTAGACAACCTCTTGGCCTGATGAACAAAGTAAAGTTTGTTTTGAGTTGTGATCTGCTGTCTAAACAGTCCACGATAAACAACATCTTTAAAAGATAAATAAACTTATGTCATACATTTCACAAATGTTTTATGTATACACACCTGCTTATGATCAGTAGGCCTATGAGAGGAAATCACTAAATATCTGTTTTGTATGTGTAGTCATTCATATAACATATCATAATTTTATCTTGCATCATATTTAGATGAATTTCTGATAATTCCAACTTGTGATAATTTAAACAAACTTTGTGGCTTCTTGGAGTTAGAATTAATGAGTCTAGTACTGTATTCCCCATATCCTCTCAATACCCGACGTACACTAAATGCGTTTTACGGACTGTAGTCCACAGCCGGTGTTCTGGACGTCCACAAAGACAAAGTTCAGTTCTTTCACCAATGTGTTATGCCTGTACTTGCTTATAATTAGGCCTATGTAGAGGAAACTGGCAAAAATCTGTGTATGTGTAGCTACCCATGTAACAAATCATAATGTTGTCTAGTATCATATTTAGATGAATTTCTGATAATTCAAACTTTTGATAATTCAAACTTCTGATAATTCAAACTTCTGATAATTCAAACTAAACTCTGTGACTTCCTGGAGTTTGAATTAATGAGAGTCTACTGTAGAGCATCCAAGAGCCCCTAAATACAGTCGAGCGTAGTTGGCGGAGACCTCAAACACCACGGCGCTTACACACGCACCTGGCCGGGACCTCCACAGAGCATAAGCGACAAAACACGAAAAAAATTAAAGAAAAACGGAAAAGCGAGGTGCGTAAAAAAATTCTCTTGATCCATAAAAAAAGTTTAGCAAGCAACAAAAAAGAAAGCTCACTAAATCCAAACAGAAGAAAAAAAAAAAAAGGCAAAGCAATAATAAAAGAAAAAGGTAAACAAAGATAAGGAGCTCAAAGTGTGATTACACAACCTTCGTTATCCACACTGAAGACTTTGTTTTTGCTTATTTTATTTTGGGTTATTTTGGGGCTAAGGAGTCTCGCAGCATCAGCAGTGTTCGGGGAAAGGGCGCAGGCTGTTCCAACAGCGAGCCCTTCCCCTTGCTTTTGCCGTCCTCCACTTCTTTTTTTATTGTTCATTGTCTCTCCTTTCCTATAACTGCTCTTTTGCTGCATATCTTCCCGCATGTATGCTGGCTTGGCGGTCTGCCAGCCCCGCAACGCAAGCGATGTGCTCGCCACCGGCGCAATCAGATTGCAGGAAAAGCAATGGGCAGCCGTGCTTCGTTTGCTTTATCGGGTGTCCCCGCCATGGGAGTTGGACACAAAAAGACAACGCTCCTATACTATTACATGTAATTTTCAAGGGGATGTCTGGACTGTTTGATATAAACAATAATTCGAAATACCGGAGTGTGATATAACCAGGCTCGACTGCATGGCCCCTTCGTTGCGGCCTGCTGCCTCACCAGGAGATCCATAGAAACGGTGATCCAGATGAGTTCCCGAGTTTGTGGAGGCATGGCCCAGCAGACACGAGCTATGTTTTGCGTTCCTCAAGCCTCGCACCACTCCCGCTTGTTCGCCACCAGCTAACATGGCCACTGCGCCACTGGGCACAATATTACTCACTGCAGCCACTCAGAGAACTTTTGTTTACCCCTGGCAAAAAGAGTCACTCGGCAGGCCATTCCCAGCGGAAACCAGAATGCAGCAGCTGTGTGCTACTTCTCGCCCTCAACATCGCCAAGCGCCATCTCGGTCGAGCGAGATGGTGGTCGCCACCACACTTTGAATGCAGTCCCGCAATTTGATGACATTATGGAGTTTTCTGCCTGGAACAATGCCGCCGCTGTGAGTGCAGCACCGGAGTCCCTATAGCAGCCATCGCCATAAAACACTGTTGCCAAAGAGAACATTCCCCTGTCTAGCGACTCTAGGGCCCACGACCCATATACCAAAGAAGCAGACAAGCTCACCGAACGAATGGTCTCCGTGAGAAGTGGCTGGCCGATGGCATCTGGCGGGCCAAGCCACTGGGTGTACAGGTCGAGCAGGAAGTGCAGGCATGAGCGCAGGTCCAGCCCAGCCGCTGCCAGGCCGGCCTCCCGTCGTAGGCAGCCCGCACTGCCCCCGGGCGGCGAGTGCTGGCTCGACGACGACGACGACGATGACGAGAGCGGTGATGAGGCACTCGCCACGTCCTCGGCCAGCCCCACCGCCACGCACATGTACTCCACGGACACCTGGGCGAAAGACATCCATGAGTGCCTGCCACAGTCTTTGGCGTGCTGCGCCGCCCATGCACTCGGAGCCCGACTGGCAAATCAATATGCCGTGTAGAGAACCTTTTGTGAAGGTTCTCTAGAGTATCTTAGTCTTTGGTTAAACTTTTTAGACTTTCGCTTTTAAGTGTCACCAGTCGGACTTCAAATTTCTCAAAATCTTCCAAAATAAGTGCCAAAGAAATACATTCTGCTATTGACAGCATAATGAGAGAAATATTTTGATAGCACTATTTTCTTAAACCATCCAAGACTGGGTGGAGAAATAGAAGCAAGAAGAATTTGACCCCTTTGGTTTCTTCTCATTCTCCATCCAGTATCAGGTGAAACAGGATTGCACATGCAACATCACTGTTTTATTTCGATAGTGTTTTACTATCAGCAAAAGATTACTGAACATAAAACAACACTAAAACCAGTTTTAAATTTTTTTTTTCGTACAACTGTATTTTTAATTTTTTAAATTTTTTGTGTTTAGAAGGAGGTCTAAAGTTGCCAAGAAAACTTGGTCACGGAAGCGATACATCTCTCTCCTCTCACTATCACATCAGCCACGAAACCACCATGGCTCCTTTCTTTATTTTTCTTCTTTTCCTTTTTTCTGTTCTTTTTTTTACCTGGTGTAAAGCAATGATGCAGCGAACAAGCTGCCGAAGGAAAAAAGGAGCCCCGGAGGCACCGTTGGCTCCTTTTTTCTTTTGTTTCTTTCTGGCAACTGGTTACTTTCTTTGTGTACAAGAGACAAACACTATGCTAATGCATAGTGTTTGTCAGCCAAATGCTATTGCGTCAGCCATGGGCCACGGATGAAAGAAGCCATCGGCATCTTTTATCTGTGTGTGCTTTTTCCAAAAAGTTTTGTATTGTGCGCTTGAAATGGACCAATAGTGTGCCCAGGTTTTCTCTGTCGACTTACTTCGCAGGCAATCCCGCACATGCGCCTGGGAGATAGCGGCGCAGGGTGCTGCAAAATTGCCTCTACCGTAAGCCAAGCCACGGGCATTCACCTCTTGCGCACCCACCACTGTCATGCGGCACGAGCCCGTGGACCTATCTCCTGCTGCCACAAACACATCTTGGACGAGTGGACAAGGAACGGCCTCTCATATACCATCCCCTCTCATTTCTTGTGCCACCCAGACGTCGTTCTACGGAAATTTATGCAGCATATTACACCTCTGCACCGACCAATTTTTGACGAAAGCACGCACAACTGGTGAAGACTTTGTTAAGTCAACCCTAAAACCCAAGACTACGGGGTGTTCACATGAATTCTCACACATTTGTGTGGTGCATTACAATAAAAGACAATAAGATATGATAAGATGGACACCAATATTGAAAGTAAATCACATATTCTGAGTTAAATTACCCACCCACATCACCTTTTGCTCCTGCATTGCACAGCCCCACCGCTGGGAGAAGAATCCCAGTAGGAGATTATGCGAGTTTATATTTATATCGGTGTACACATTATTGTCATATTAGCACGTGCCCGGCCGAGATTTCATCCTGCACGGGTTTCTACACGAAGGTACAGGGTTGAAACCCCACCGTCGTAGCAGTTCTTCATTTTATGTTTTGCTGTTCTTCTAGAACGCTCTGAAGAATCTCGGAACATATCACATGTTCCTGTCCAGAATGTTCTAGATCAGGGGTCTCCAAACTTTATGACTAAGGGGCCGGATTAGGCGTCTGTCACGGCCTTGAGGGCCAAAAAATAAACAAATATAAATTAGAAAAAAATCCCTAAATAAATATACCTACAGTCGATGACAGGTTAAGAGTTCAGGGGAAGCTCCTCCTGAAAATTCAAAGTGAAGTAAAATGAAAAAAAAAAAAGAATCCAAGTTGTATTAAGTACATGCAAATAACAAGACTGGCAAGTACAATAAACTTTCGTTAGTTCGACCTCGCTTAATTCGACTTCTCGTTTAATTCGATTGTGTTCAAAAGTCCCGGCGAGTGCCTATACATTATTATGGAAGGAAAAGTGTGATAGTTCAAACTCGGGAAGACTCCGCATCGGATAATTCATCCGGAGCGAATGCGCGTGGGCTCACATTGCACGGCACCACGGCAGAAAAACCACCAATGTACAGCGAAACATGGGCCCTTTGCTGCAGAGCCAAACGTGCGCAAATATGCGCCTGCTCCTCTACGCCGTTGAGATGGACCGTAGCGAATGACACGAGCCAGCGCAACCAATTTGGCGTGGAGTAGCGCGGAGAATATAGCACGTGGTTGGGAACGGAGACAGCACGTGCTCTCAAAGCACTTTTCTGTAGTGCATTTGCTGCGCGATTAAACACTAATTCGGCATGACATTTTATTGGCCACAAACGACAGCCAACACGGGGCAAAGATCAGTTCAGAATGGGAGCCATTTCGCGCTGCCAAACGGCCAGACAAAGCCTCTCGCCGAAGGCCTTCAAAACGCTCGGATCCGGTCGGATCCTCCAGTCGATACGACCGCAGCGCCGCCGCGTACATCCGGGATTTTTCCGTGTCGGCGCCTGATCCCACTACTTCTTTCTAGTATGCGCCGCCTTTTCCGCTGCTTGGTGGCGGGTATGTCGACGGGTCATTTCTTGTTTCCTTACTTTATAAACTGCATCTGTTTCTTTTCTGATCTAAAATACTGAACAAAAACTACTTTTATAAATAATTGAAATGGTTCACGCCACTTATATTTTGTATTTCGACTAAAAAGAAGCTTTTATCGGCTCAGACCAGTAGTAAGCCCAGGACCAAAGACGTTACATATCGCGCGCTTTCGGTGCCGCGGGTCGCCCCGCCGGTGGAGGAGGTTTCCGCGTCGTCCGGTTAAAATATGACGCACTGATATTTAGTTACTCTCTCCGTGCCCGCTGGCTCGCCCGAACCCCAAGAGACGTCGAAACCGCAGAAAAAGTAGACGCTTAAATATGATTGCAGAGCCCCTTTAACTGCACGCAAGGACACTTGCATGACGGCACAATGTAGGTTGCCCAAGCCGGGAAATGTACCTGGCCAAGTGAGTAGTCCGAGTAACGGCAGAACTTGTCAATGTTGGAACGACCCCAGGCCATGTTGGTTCTGCAGTAAGAAGGTGGAAATCACCATGTCAGGTTCCAATGAAACTTTAAGGAAGCAGCACAATCTCCTGCTTACTTGAGTTTGAGCATCTTCAGCAACGCCTCGTGAACTGGTGTTCGAACAGCCTGAAGTCGTTTCCCACACCTAAAATAAGAATAAAAATACTAGTCACCTGCAAATAGTGAACTGTGAGTTTGAGGCAAATTCAAAGCAAATAATGGTTATGGACGAATATTCTTCAAATATGTATTGAATAGTTTTTCTAAAGCTTTCACTACTGCAACATGCTTAAATGAAAACCCAGCTGAACTTTGTGAAAGTTGTTGCCAAGCTTCCTGTTATCCATTTCTAAGCTAAGTTAATTTTAATCTAACTATATTTATTGCTTGTGGGCTCTAAAAGTTCAATGCCTACATTGGGATGGCGAGTAAACGACACATTTGGCATAAGATTAAACCTATAGAGATGCCAAGCTATACCTAATAGAGGGGATGCTAAGCTATACCTAATAGAGGGGATTTATAAATATTCTTGCTATATGCACATATTTTTTCTTCAATCATGTATGACTAAAACAGGTTGTCAGAGCATCTCTGCATATACTCACGCATGCCAAATTAATTTTGAAAATAGTACTACTGCATTGTACATATTAACATTCACCAAGTTTCTGTTTCTTTTCAAATACACCAGGTGTGCACATGCACCATCCCACTTTGGAAATGAGCTTTCCTTCTAAGCATGCGGCTGAAATATTTCTACTTTTCGAAGTGCTGATCATGGTGGGTTAGCCCCGTTAAATGTGCTTCTTACCAAGCACAGGTGCACTACGGAAGTGAAAACCTGCAGAAGCGAGCTGCGAGGGCTTAGCTTTTCCGTGGTGCACTGGTGCTCGGTAAGAAGCGCGCTCATAGGGGCTAACCTGCCACGATCAACTTGGAAAAATATTAATATCGCAGTTCATCTCGAAGCAAATATTGAATAGAATATTATACAAAACCACTAGTATTAGAAAATTCGATACTCGCAGAACACTAGAAAATACCCTTCATTTACACGATCTCAAAACTTAATACCCCCCTCCCCCCCCTTCCTGCCTACGCCACTGATACTGCCATTCATTTCGGAGGGGTTAAAATCCCCCCCCCCCCCCCTTCCCCCCACTCTTCCCGCCCAGCTCCATAGCCCGTATCATTTGGTTAATAGCAGGCACCTGTCATGGTGTTTATCACTAATTTTTTATCAATTTTTTCTGTCTTGCTGTCTCATTCCCAAAGATTGCCTACCTGATATATTTCACCATTTATCTCTTCAAAATTAGTGGGCATTCATATGGGATTTTAGAGTATAGCCTCAAACAATGTTACTAGATTAGCTCAGTTATGGAACTACTCATAGGTGCTGCTCCCACGAGCAGTACTCCCCTCTCTTATTATGGCCTGCCTCCCGTCGTTCAACATGCCACTGCTTTGGGGATGCCCGCTATAGTAACTGCAGTGGATTCTATGGAATACATATGTATTGAAGCACAGAGTCTAGATGGCGTTTCATTATACTCTATGGAAAACACAGTTTTAAAACAAAAATCTAGATGGCGCATTAAACGACGGGAGGCGAACTGAAGGGGGCAAGGGGGTACACCCCTCCGCGGGGGTTCCATAACTGACCTTATCTAGTAAAGCTAGCTTCGACGCAATTTCTCTATTGCAGACGTGGGATGTAGTGTCGAGGCTACAATACAAAAGTCAAACAATGGCAACGCAATTCACAGCGGCAGTCTTATGGGCAAACGGTGTACACAAATTCCGAAAAGCTGATCACAGAGTTGAATAACGGCATGTGAAATTTCAGTCGCTGTCAATTTTTTGCTTTATGGGGTGAGTGACAGTCTTGCGAAGACAGTAAAAAAATTGATCAACAACTGAAAATTAACTTTCACATTCCGGTGGCATTTGTGACGAGCTGTGGGATTGGACAGCAAAAAAACAGACTCACATTCTTTAAAACACTTTGCATTCCTGGCCTGGCTACAATACATTTTTACTAACTTTTTTCGGTCACACTCCGAAAGTTAGCCTACAACTTTTAATCCAATTCGCTTACCATTTACACTGTATCAGGACTTCACCTCAACAATGCAGAAACGCAGGTGAACACATCTTTGTATGCGACGGGGAGGGGACCTTAAAGGCTGACCAACAAGCAGAGAGAAGGAAGCTTACTCTTGCCAGCCCTCACTCCTCACCGTTTTTCACACAACAGGAAAGAAGAACCCCACCTTCTCACGTTTAGGATCAGAAAAGATTAGTACAGCGACCGGTTAGTAATCCCACAAAGAAATGCAGAAGCCGCACCTTCTTTCTTCCCCACTGCCCCCTCCTTGAAGCTACCCCTTCACTTTGGTCGTCGGACTTGAGGTACATGAACAACACTGTATACTCCAGTCAACTCTAAGCCGACAGTGCGGGAAAAGCTACGTGCTCATTGGACCAGTCATAAGCCTATCTTCCCCCACGTGATTATGCTCTCACCCATACCTACATGCAGAAAGCGGGATCAGGCAATGAAAGGGAAGCAGTTGATTGGGCCGACGAGCGTGTAGCTCTCACTACACTGTCAGGTTTGGGCTGAACGGAGTATAAACTAAAACTCAAGAAAGCCGAGCCACTATTCTCCTGCATTCTGGCATCTGCTTGTCCGGTCGGGTTCTCCCGTGGTTCGTTCATTTCAACAACCATCTAGAAAGAACCTTAGCGCCAAGAGAACACCAACGACAGCTTTTTTCTGAACAATAACTTTTTTTTCTGCCTAAGGTTTTCTATTCGAAATATCTCACTTTTCTTTTTTGCTAACTCTTTTCTTTAGAGAACAAAATATGTTACTTTACTGTTTCAACAACCGCATCAAATACTAAAAATTGCCAAAATCTCATTTTGGCAAATTTTGTGATGTAAAAATAGTGAGAAAAATTTATCATGCGATATACATCACTCTGACATAATGAGTACACAGCAGACTACTTCCAATCATAAAATGTGGTGCCCACTAAATATTCCCAAAATTCATACTTAGCAAAATCCACGAAATTATGTGGCCGTAACAATAAGTTGTTTACACCACTGTCGAGACTGGTTATAACGAAATAGTGGCTACAGCGGAGCGATTATGATTTCCCATTACCGTTTGCACTTTTTCAATGCATTTGCGTCTGTTTTTAGCAAAGGAAATTGAGGGGCTCCCGTGGATATAGCGAAGAGAAATTTTGTGATAATTTAAAAAAAGAATAAAATTCGGAAAGTTTACTGAGTCTCGGACTGCCGCACTCTGCTGCCGCGGTCAAGAGGCCACCCAGAACAGACTGCAGAAGGTGCTGGAAAGGCCACCGGTGGCAATCTCTGTAACGTCGTCTGCTCCTCGCTCCATATCCGGGAAGCGGCTTTACCGCATCGCACACAGAGAAGCCGTTGTGGCATGCCGATAGGGGCGTTTGGAGCGCTAGCGACAACATTCTGGCGGAGATGATGAAGAGAGCCTAGATTTAAAAGAGGGAGCCAGTAAGTACGCCTGCATTTGATTGTCGCGCGGCCAGTGTGCCGAGGAAACTGGGCAGAGAGGCGAACACGTTTGCAGAAGGTGAACCCTTTTGAGTTTTGACTGCTTGCATGCCCGCTCGTTTTGCAAACGCGGCCCACAAACCACGTGACCCCGTTCAAGCAGTTGCCCCATCTCTTAAATCCAGGCTCTCTATACTGACGACAGACAAGCTTGAGCGCGAACTTGGTGCAGTGCACGCTTCTTTTTTTGCTTTGTGAACCGTGTCGGCGTCTGGTCGGTGAGGTCGCTCTTGCGCAAAAGTCTAATCACTCGAGCATCGATTTGGCAAACCATCGCGACTCAGCTATGGACAGTCCCGGTACCGCCGGCACCTCGACAGGGAAGACGAAGGCAATCTCCTGGAATCAAAAGCGTGCCATCCTCGACGGAGTGCGCAAAAACGTAAAGAACACCATCTATCGCCAGCGTCCTCCGCGGGGCCGTCGCAGCTGTCGACACGGTCCGTACACAGCAGAATCTGTCTTTGATCCGAGCTTCTCGTAGTTGGCGAGAAGCGGCTCCGATCTAGCAGAGGACACGTGCAGAGAAGCCTTGACCACTTTCTGCAGGCTCGATAAACATCTGCCCGTGACAACCCGCGTTATATTTTTTTTTTGTTATTTGTATGAGTTTGTATATATCGAAGAAGCGGACATAGCAAAGCGATTTTCGATTCCCATTGACTTCGTTATAACCGGTTTTAACAGTACAACGAACGTTAGCTCTCCGAGCCTTTATTCCATGTTCTTCTGGAAGAAAAGAATGCATGACAATGGCCTAAAATAATATACATGCAAGAAGAGCAGACTGCAGCGCAGCATCAGCTTAGCGCTTTCTGCTGAGGTTGGCATGACAAATGTTTCAATGACTCCGATAACGATACGCGATAATCCACCGAAGCCTTTGCACGTGCACGGGTGCTTGGGATGTCCATGACTTGAGGTTCAAGGGGGGTGGGGGTGGGGGGTCATTATAGGGTTAACAGGAATTTCGTGACACCTCGGTATCCTCACACAGCCCCTCAATAAGCAAAAGAACAGATGACAATGACATGTGAGTCCTCTTGATTTTGAGCTGACAGTGCAGTGGGGGTAATGCACTAGCCAGATCAATCAATAGCCTTCTTTTTATCACCTGACCCTGTGTGTGCGTATGAGTGGTAGCGTAACATTGGATAAAGATAGACATATGACTGGTCCGATGAGTATGCAGCCTCCACCGTACTGTCAGCTTATGGATGAACGGAGTATGGTTCTTCCGGGAAAGGAACTCTTGAGCCTGTCACAGAATAGCCCGAAGAGCGATCCACGAGAAAAAAAAAAGACAGAGTCATAGGCCATGGATAGTGTTGTCCGAGTCAAGCGATAGCAACAGCCTCTTTTGGTTGTTATTTCTTGCCACTGTGATTAATCCCTGTTGTTCAGGTTTGGGGGTTATAAGCCGCCTACCATGCGAGAAGGACGTAAAGAAGCGAGAAATGGGGGGGGCCAAAAAAAATGGATAAATTTTCAGCTGGGAAGAATTTATGTTTGCACGTCGGATGCTCAAAAGTCACCAATGCTGACCAGTGCTGGTGGCTGATCTCGCTGACTATGGCTTGGTGAAGGCAAGTTCATCCCTTGCACAATCGCCACTTCAACCATCGCAAGCAAGAGGTGAACAAAACAGCTTACATGTTCGTCAGAGAACTACATTACACTTCTTTCGATAAATTTCTTGATAATGAAGACTGAGGAACCTTCCTTTTTGTGTTGCGTATTCTTTGGCTGCAGCTGGAACCAAGTGCAACTTGGACCAACTGCAACTGGGATTTAGCTGGTCCCAAGTTATTTGGTTAATTGCCCACATTCCCAGCTGCACCTGGAACCCACTACAGGAATACAGTTCATCTAATTGAAGGTCCAAGTGCGTTCATGGCACACAATCGGCTCGACTGCCCACACGATAGTTTTAAAAACCATGGTCTCCCTTGGCTCGCTCACCTCGTGTGCACGAAGGCAAAGGGCTTGTCACGGGGCTGGTGCAGCAGGCTGCTACTGTGTGGGTTGCCTGGCTGTGGGAGCCGCAAGGACTGCAGCAGCAGGCTGGTGATGCAGCGTACAGACAGACACTGCACTGCTGTGCGCTCCTGTTCATCCTGAGACGGAAGAGGCAAGCTCAACCCCCACCCGGCCCCCACGCACGCTGCGAGGGAGTGTCCACACAAACCTCGGGGGTCTCTCGCTCGCTTGATGGCGACGTGTTGAGCACGCCCAATAGGGCCATCCACGTCTCTTCGAACTGCTGTCGCGAGATCCAGCCTGGAAGAGGCATCAGAGTTCTCTTGGTAACAGTCCCCTTTGGTGCTCAACCTTATAAATCCATTGATTGCGCTGCTTGCCACAGAAGTATCTGAGGTGAATAAGCACAGATGGTCATACCCAAAAAATAGAAAAAGGTCTTGCATTCCGGGAAAATGCCTACCTTAGCTGCACGGACGTCGATGACTACACCAGTATGAAGGAAAAACTTAGGCAAAATTTTGATTTAAAGTGGACTGCAGGGTGAGGTTTGCAACCAAAAGCAAGGGCAAGTTTTTGAGTCCCAGCTAACTGAATGCCATGCAAGTGGCTGTTTAGTGCAGCAGATTACTGTGAACAACTAAAGAAGCTTGCACTTGCCAGAGAATATATACATGGTACTTCTAGACTTTGCAGCTGGAGAAATATTTGAATGTCCTTAGACTGTTCTCAAAGGTAATTAGTTCCGAGCTCTGCATTCCCAGCCCACCTGAATTCCACACAGCTAGAATTCACTCGAGAGAAACTTGAACTTCCCGTAATTTCCTGTCAGCAGAAAACCCTCATGCTAACAACAATTTCTTTCAAAGTTTTCTGAAAAAAATGTGGATCACTGTGTGCAAGATTCACAATATATAACCTAAATCCCCCTGGCTCTTTTCTGATCAGAAAATCAAAGAACTTGTTAGAGAAAAAATTGCCGGGTAATGAAGGACCAGATATCACAGCTCCTAAAAGCTCAAAGTGCAGTATGTAAATGTTATCTTAAAGCATGAAATGCCTTCTAACAGAAGCCCCTACACCCAAAAATTTGTCCAACTGTGAATCCGTGCATACCCAATGGCACGCATTGTTGTTGTTGTTTGCAGGTTTTATGGTGCGAGCTGCGATGATTGTATTGAGGAAACTAAGCACACTAAAACACTAGTAATGCTAGGACTGCAACTGGGCTATACACTCCGTGCGGGAACTTAGGGGGCGCTTTGAAAAACACGCGTAGCGCCGCTAGCGGAGGAGCTGGCGTTCGACAACGAGGCGCGCTCAGCAGGCTCAGCAGCCTGCGGCGCCTTTTCGCGTGCGAAGCTGTGGCGGCGGAAGCGCGCACGGGCGGAACTTTTGCTTTTGAAGCCGATAAGTAGAGGATGACGTTGCATGAGTGCTGGGGCAGATTTAAGAAGGGCATTTAGCTGTTTGCCGCTTCTTATATATTAAGTTTGAATCGTCAATAGGGATAATTTCTCTAGTTGCGGTCGAAAAAGGGGTTTGGGCAATTTTCCAAAAAGCAAGATGGCCGCCACCATAATTGCTCTCAGTGGGAAATTTGTTTCGCTCGTCGCTGTAAAGTTGGTGGGTCGATGATATTTGGAGGCAAGTGAGATGTTCACTAAATTCGTGCACAAAGTGGGCCAAGTTTTATTAAGACAGCAAGTGTGAAAGTTATGGTTCGAACGAATAAAGTAATAAAGCTGTCAGGAATATCCCATAATGGACCCAAAATGTTGTGTTATAACCGGGCTTTGGCCAAGTGCAGATTTAGACACGCAGGTTCTTGGACATGACCGTAACTTGACACAACAGTTATAATAGCAAAAATAGGTGGCATAGGGAAACCAGGTGGAAATTTAGTTTGGGCGGCGTAACTGAATGGGAAACGGTTTTGACTGTGAAAAGGCTGTCAAGAGAATACCACTTGTCGTGGGAGATGGAGACTTTACAGGTAGGAAGGGACTAGTGCACTGTACTTCCACTTGAAACAACTTTACGGAAGGTGGCTTCCAAACAGAGAAAACCAAGTTGCCGGCCAACACACGGTTTGGCCGTCAAAGGCTTTTACGGAGAGCTGTTATGTAGTAATCTGGTTGTGCGAGGTGCTGATTTTCGGCACACAGGTACTTGGACAACCGTAACTTGACAAAACACTTATTATACCTAAAAGAGATGGCATAGTTTAACCAGGTGGAAATATTTTTGGCCGGCGTAACTAAATGGGAACTGTTTTTGACCGTCAAATGCTGCCAAGAGAATACCACTCATCATGGCCGGAAGGTGCACACTTTACAGGTAGGAAGGGACCAGTGAACGGTACTTCCAGTTCGAACAACTTTGCGATAGGTGGCTCTAAAGCCGAGAAAAAAAATTGTTGTCTTCAAGACTCGGGGTGTCAGCGTTTCCACATCCAAAAGGAGGCTGATCAAAAAAGAAAGCACACCACATAAACTTTCATTGTCCAACATCGATTGTCCAGAGATTCCAAGTTTCATTGTAGTTTTCCTTAAATTCATATTTGTCACTTTTTGTACCGTTCGAATCTTTCTTCATGAAGTACAGACTGCGTGCCATACTGGTCCGGAAATATCATCGACACGTACGATGGGGACGAAACTTCTTTCGAGGGCATTCCTTCAACGAAATTCGCACCTCATACCCACAAGTGTGGAATGGCATATCAGTTCGAGCTGAGATATGTTGGCGTTACTGGTACGAAGACAAACGCAGAGCGCAAAGCAACAGTGTAGAATATGTCAGCAGTGCCGACATAGTGGCAGACATGATCAGGAGACCAAATTTCTCGCGTCGTACGGCATGGGTCCATCGCGGTCGCTGTCCCACAAAACGTCGTCGATGTGAAAAACTGTGAAACTTTGTCCCCACGAGATACGACGCATTACTACTGGAGCACTTAACGACACAGCAGTTCATGCTGTCAACCCAGCGCAACCGCAACGCTCCGACTTCAATGCGTACCAACGTACGCGGCGCGGTTTCGTTTCGGTGGGGCTCTCACTGCCTACCTTCGGTAACGGCCGCGCGGCGGCGCGCCGGTCGCGTCGCACGGAGTGTATAGTTTGTGTAAAGTACCAATATATTCAAGAAAAGCCAGAAGAGGTTCAAGTGATATAAGGGGCTGCTCCCCTAGGAACAGGGTAGGGTGGAATGAGATACAGTGTTTGAAAAACTCAAGGAGGGGGGTTGGGGGGGAGGGCCCGTGTTGTTGTAGAAGACCAGGGCAAAAAAAATATGTAAATATGTAGAACAGAGAGTCCCTCCCCAGTGGTCACACACCGGTGGTTTCTCATTCACAAGAAGTCATTAATGGGTGAGGAAGATGTGGCCAACTCTCAAGCAGCAAAGAAGGACTTCACGGAAACGGTTCTGATTATAGGAGGTCTCCCAAGCACAGAGATCTGGCTTGATGGTATGAAGCTTATTATTATCTGCGAAGTCCCATTCAGACTGCTACAATTGTAAAAGTGCAAGCCTTATGGGCATTCGAAGGTCTCGGTATAGTATGCAAACATGTGATGGTAAAAGTTTCTGTTTGGTGGCAGTCAGTACGTCTATCCGCAGCCTCATTGCCTGCAATGCCCACATGGCTCGGGATCGAGCAAAACTTTAATATCATGCCTATCCCAAAGGCCCTGTTGAATACAGTCGCCGACCGATTTTTCGGACTGTGATAATTCGGACATGTTCGATAATTCAGACATAAAGGAGGAACCGTGACTTACCCCATAGAAATAGTGTATATTCACGACCAATGTTTCAGACAGCTTGAAGTCTGAAAGTTTGATTATTCGGACAAAATCGTCGCAAGTGATCAGCAGGAAATATTACCGAGAAGCGGCCATTTTGAATTCTATGTTGGCTGCAAATGGATTGGCTTCGTTTGGCTGCACGACTTGAGTACTCCTGAGTCCTACCGCTAGGTGACGCTATGCTAGCCCTTTTTTTCCATTTAGCTATACGTCATCATCATCATTATCATTTTGCTTTGTTTCCTTCCATCTCCTCGCCTCCACCCCACTTTCGTGTCACCAGTCGCCATTCTGCGCTCGTGGATTAGCACCTCTCATCCCGTTCCTCGCACCAGCAGAAAATGAGACTGATGACAACTACCGCCCGCAACCATTGACAGCAGACATTCCGAACGCATGAACACTTCTGTTGAATGTGTACGACGAGGACACGACGCTTGCACAAATGGAAGCAGACATCATCACGAGCAGGCGTAACATGAAGCAAGCCACTATTGACGGCTTTTTAAAGCCCACTTAGGCGTAATAAAGGCAAGTTTTTTCATCCACCGAATTTTCGGACTGCTTGATTATTCGGACCATTTTGGGTATCCCCTCCGAATCCGAATAATCGGTCGGCGACTGTATTGGCTCATAGAAGTTGGGTCAGCTTATTTTATAGCAGTAGGTGTTAGTGACCCTTCCTGGCAAAGAATGCTCATGTACGAAAGCAAAGCCCCACGCTACAGCAGAGGCACTGCTCTCCCTCTCCCCATCCTTCCTCACACACTGCCAAGGCTCTCTCTCGCTCCCCGCCCCCCTTCCCCCGTTCGCTGCCACTCTTCTTGCTCCAGCGATGCTTTCCCTTTCTTTCTTTCCTTCCTTCCTCACCCTCCCTCCCTCCCTCCTCCCTCCCTCCCCTCCCCTCCCCCTCCCCCCCCCCCCCCCCCCCCCCCCCCTCCCCTCCCCCTCCCCTCCCCTCTCTTCCCCCCCCCCCCCCCCTCCTCCAGAAGCTGCCATTGCAAAATACCCACGTCGTCACACCGTGCAGACATGCTCCCTCGCTTCCCCACTACCATCCCCCAGGTTCCGTTCCCGTATAACTCTCCGCACCTCTACAGAACAGCTCGCACACACACTTTCGCTTCTGTGTCTTTCTCCAACACACGAAACGTCTCGCATAATCGTTCCACCAAAGCATGCATCACCTCACACAGGTCTCCTATATCAATCCCATTGAAAGCAAAGAACCCATTGCAAACATTGTAGAGCACACTAACTGAAGCCAAATCGCCTTCAAGATTCCACAACGCAGCATGCATTTTTTACAGCGAAGCTGTTAAGGGATAGTTCCCCCACTATCGTATCTGCGGACAAGCGGCGTGTCGACACAAAACTCGAGTCAGTTCACTGTCACGCTACGTCATCGTCTCGCCTACCAATCGTGTGTGTCCTGTGTCCCGCGACGTTGAGATCGCGCTAGCACACTTATCAGTTGCCCTTTAGACTCACGATGGGTCGGCCGCATGCCGTTCGTTCAAAGGAAGAAGAGCGGGAGCGCAAGGAGCACTGACGTGCACAGCAGCGCGAATGGCCGCAGAAATGCCGCGAAGCCATTATCGCCTCAAGTTCCACTGCGTCGAGTGGTTCCGAATCATTTGCGAAAGAAGAGCAGATTGCCCGCCTGGAACGCCGCCAAGAACAGAAGCAGCGATGTGACCGGCACCGGCGGGCCAACGCCACGGATGACGATTGTGCCACGGGAAGCCAAGCGCAAGCGCGAGGCCCAGCGACGACAGGACGCCATGGCGGCTGAACAGTTTTTATAAATACTTCAATCCCACCGTGGTGCAGCTTCGCTGGGTTTCCATCTTCACCAGAGTAAAAAAGCTGAAAGTTTTTTGGTTAATGTAAGTGAGCATACTGCAGCATTAACTCCTCTGGGAGTCTACAAAAAATGGCTTTTATCACTTTGCTCTGAATTGTAGTTAAGGGCGACCAATACACAATAGAGCTCGGTAATAAAAATGCAGCCGACAACATTTAGCTGAGCCACATGGGTCAAACAATGGAAATGAACAGCAGAGTCAACATACATTGAGGACTTGGCACCATTGGTGTAAAACTGGCAACAATCCTGGTACTATTTTTTTCGCCCTAAGAAATTCCTGTTGCAACAGAAGTGTTGAGATAATGTTCCTTGAATTTTGTAAAATGCCAATCACAAGATACGGGTTTGATGTCCCATTTGGCAGCGAGAGAAGCATTTTCAAGAAGGTAGACATCATCACAAGCCAGGTTAAGGAAGAGACGTAAGGTGACAGTGTCACGCGGTGCGACACAGTGATCACGTAATGTCCCTTTCTGTGACCATGTCGGGTGATTCAATAGTAATGTGATGTCACGGGACACCACTTAATATCATTAAATGTCACGTGACATTTAATGTCCCCTAAACAAATTTAGATGATTGCTCCTCAATTACTACATTCCATGCATTATATGGCTTCGGAGATAAAGGTTGTGGGCACCCTGGCGGCTCCCCAGCCCAGCTGCCCAACTGCGGGGCACAGGTGGCGAACTTTCCCGCGTGGCGGCGGAATCAAGCGAACCACGCACACATCGCGTGTGCCGCCTTGATAAGGTGAATCAGAGGCGGCGCACAGGCAGTCGCTGGCTGAACTCAAGCGCCGCCGGTGCTCGTTGGTTTCTGTTATTATTCTTCATCGTCTCGTCCATGTCCCATTAAATGTAGTTCCTTGGTCTTGAAACCGCTGGCTCCGTGTGATTCCTCCGGGTCGGGTATGCAGCAAGGCAAACCGACTACAAGGTCACTGCCAATTTTTATTCTTATGGTGAATTCCGCTCGCAGATCTCGAGCACTCCAAAAGCGCTCCCATTTGGAGTGCGCATATTCCGCTCGCAGATCTGGCTCGAGCTGGTAATCTTCCGCTCGTAGATCTCTGGCAGCGCTCGCTCCACGGAGCGCATCAAACCCCGCCGAACTTGCTCTGCGGGATTTCACAGATCTCTCCGGAAGCTGACAGAGCGACCCACGTGATTTCCGCCTAAATCGGCAGTGCGCATGCGCGGCGAGGTTGGAGAAGTTGGAGAGGTCGGCGGGCCGGTCGGGCGGTCGAGTTGGATCTGTGCGGGTGCGTCGGTTGTTTACGCAGGATTGTGACGGCGCGAACGCTTCTACCTCGCGTAGATCAGGGATACAAAGCCGGGACTGTGGAGCGTGGTAAATCGCAAACGCTGACATCTGTGATCGTGAGAGGAAGAAAGACAGAAAAGCTGGAGGCAGACGCAAGGTTAGGCCTGTTCATTCTGCAGCCAATGATTGTTTACCTTTTTACATGGCATTCCACCTGCGTTTTCCCATGAAATAAAGCAAGAAGTGATTAGGCAACGACTGCGCAAGTGATGGTTTGTTACCTCTGTGTTTATTAAAGTCATACCAGGAATCTGAACTCCACTGCGGGCAATCGCTGTCCGTGCCCCGCCGCTTTGAGGCGGCCGAAAGGTATGTGACGGTGCCGAACGCGGACGTATTCGCGACATGGGCGTCGTAGTGCGTATAATTTCACCCGGCCTGTGTCGCGTGTTATTTCTGCAGCTAAACATTGACAGTCGTCACTGGTCGTCGGAAAGATCAGTCGGCTGAGGCGTTGGTGGGCTTGTCAAGTTCGAGCAGCGGCCATTTTGAACGGCGGTCGGAAGGGGTGTGGGGGAGGTCGCTCCAAAAATGCAAGTTTATCTTCCCCTCGTGGATTCGGAGCGGGTCCCACGGAGCAGACTTTCGCCTCCCTCGCGGATTTCGGAAAGCGCTCCGGATCTACAAGTGGAATTCACCATTAGTAAATGCAGCTTCTAGGATCAAATACAAACAGGCGTGCCGCATTCCAAAGGAGTTGCCTTTAAAACAGAAAGTCATTCTCTTCCGGGGTCTTAGAGAGCATACCGACAAAATGGCTAGAGACACTTCAGAGTAACGACACCTGAACCATCTTGTTGCATAAAGACCAACGAGCAGCCAGAAAGAAGGAAACTCTTCCCCAATTCCTCCTTTCTATTTGAGGAAGAGGGTGACCCCCCTCCTTTTTGAGGAAAGTAGCTCTGAGGAATGAGCACCCAGAGCTTCCTGGTGGGGCGGCCTCACCGAGAAGGTTGGCCCGGTAGATGTACTCGTGCAGCAGGTCCCGGTCCAGCAACCAGTCGGCCGGAGGGGGCGGGACGGGTGCCTCCCACTGGGGGGCCCACTGCATCTGCCACAGGACGGGGGGCGTGCGGGCAAAGCCGTTCACCAGGGGTAGCCGGGCCACACCTGCCAACAGAACACACATGGCCAAACATCAAATTGGGCCAAGAGAAAAACTGGACTGCAGATCCAATTTAAACAATGTCTCAGTATTGATATTTCACATTTAATTTGAGCCGAGAGTGGAGACTCATTTTTTATTAAATCAAGGCTGGAATGGTTTTTTTTTTTTCTTTTTTTAGAAAGCAGATTTACAAAAAGAATTAGTTTCACTACATAACCAAATTTTCACATGCTTGTATTTATAAAAAAAAAATGAGGTCTCTATAAGACAAGTTGGGTAAAACCTAATGTAACCCGGTCAAACAAAGAAACGACTGTTATTTATTAGAATATATTGCGAGGATTTCTTTCTGGCACTGTCTTTTAAAAAAACACTGAACCTAGTAAAAATATATATATTTTTCTTTTTCTACCTGGTTAGGACAGGCATGTCTCAAAATAAGTTGAAAAAAATTATTTTTTTGCGCAATATTTCTGTCACAATAAAAAAGTTTCGATTTGTGGGTGAAACCAAAATTTTACCCCTGTGGGATGATGATAGCGTTGGTACCCAACTATACTCCGCGACAACTTTTCTTGGCATTTCCGGGGAGAGGAGGAGAGCCCCCACACAGCTTTATTCAGAGCTCAAAATGGGAGAGGGAACGCGTGCCTGTACCCTCCACAGCATTGCCAAGAAAAGTTGTCGCAGAGTATAGTGTGCGTTCCAAGTTCACTGTACCTCAGAGCGCACACTAGTTGGGTACAAATACTATCATCATCCCACAGGGGCACAATTTCAGTTTCTCCCTCAAATCGAAAAATTTGTATTGTAACATAGATACTGTATTGGGGAAAAAATATATATTTTGAGGAACAATATTTTGAGATATGCCTGTTCGAACCAGGTTTTTTCCTTTTCCTTGGTTCAGTGTTTTTTTTTAGTTAAAGGTAAGGCTACAATCGTAACCGAGGAAGCTGACCTACAAAAGTGACCATTGAGTCAATCGAGATGCTCCGATACATTAGCCATTTCACCTAACAGGCCCTAAAGGTGCATTCACACTGCGGAAAAACGCGCGTCGTGAGGTGAGTGTTTGGCTTATTTTAGTATTGAATAAAGTTGCATGCCGAGGAGGACGACGTCGGGAGACGACTTCTCTGGACCCAATTTTTCCCTCGATGCGCGCACTTGAGCCCATCAGAGAGCGACCGAACAGGACGTGTCGTCTTTTACAGTGAAGCTGTTTATGGCTAGGGTTCCGTGGATTTTTTGTGTGCGTGACCAAAAGCTCTACGCTCGCACTGCCACACGCACGCGCCTTCTCCGTATAAAAGATTCGAAGCAAATAACCAAGATAAAGCAAATACGACCGTGCGTACAAGATGCCATTTGTTTTTTGGGCTTTTGCTTTAGAACAGTTAATGCTGCAGACGCCGGCAAGTGCGGTGCATGGAACACCATTCTCTGCATTCTCCTTGATGCTTGGGTAATTTAGCAATAGGTCTATTCAGTAGATTAGTTATCAATAGGCCCCATAAATTTCAAGATCAGTAGACTCTCAGGTAGATAATAAAGGTTTCTCAAAGATTTGCCACTGTGCGACCCGCATCGGCCATGTCTATGCTCGCACTGCCCTCTCTTTGTTTTGGTTCCAAGCAGTTGCGTGCCTAGTTTCTTTTCCTACCACACTCCCAGGGTGGCAATCCCGTCGCGCGTGTCTACTTTCCACCGGGTGGCAGTCCTGTTGCGCATGTCTAGTTTCCTCCGGCTTCTTGGGGTGGGTCTGTATCATGTGCTAAACAGCTTCACTGGTCATTCACCTTCACAGTATGGAATGGCTCATGATTTTATTTCCTGTAAGGACCTGTTTTCGCTGTTCTTATTTTCGATCCACAAGGAAGGCTAAAAGGTAGAGGGGTCGAGGGATGCACAGTCGCTAACGTGGCTGGAAGCATTTCAGCGTGGAGAAAAGCAAGTCGACTGGAACAACTGACTGTGAGCAGTGTTTTATGTGCGTGTATGATGTTGTGAAACTACTCTTCATCGTTGACGCGAGAGCCGCCACCACTACAAGATACAACAGTTCCCCTTCGAAAACACTGTCGCACAAGCTGCATGCAGTGCTATCAAGGGTATGGACGCGCAGGCGTAGCATCGTGCTAAGCTCTGTTTGCACAAAAACGCGCCAAAACAGCGCCTTCTGAAGCTGTGCACTCGAGTCCGTGCCTCTCACATATGCTGCATATAACTGAAGTGTAAATGTATATGTAAATTAAACTCTCACTTGAGCGAACGTCGGTTTAATAAGTATTCTAGAATAAAAAACTTTAAAAAAATTCTCGGAGGTTTTTCTATGCATTCTATGCAAAAAGGTTTCGATTTCGGAATAGCAAATATTTTAGTTCAACGAACTTGATCGGTGGACCCAGGATTATTTTTGCAATCAGTTCAATGAAGTTGTGGGCTATGCAGTGCTGGCATAGTCGATGCCCGCCGCCCTGCCGCCATTGCCTCTGCAGCAGCGGAGTATCTTTGCTGGCGTTTATAGCACCACCGAGGCAAAGCGGTGGTGTGGCAGACGAAAACGAACCACATGGTGTGTGTTTTTTCTTTGCCATCGGTTCCGTTCGGCCATCATAGTTTTGGGTAACAATGGCAGGACAGCAGTTTGTGCGCCCACTTTCGTAATGAGTACAACGAGATGGAAGCGGTTGTCTCTATCAGACAAGCTAAAAATCCTTCAGTGTCTGGACAACGGTCAAAGGCAAGTGGACGTTGCGAAGTACTATGGAATTCCACCATCGACATTGTCAACGGAAGTGCAGCAAAAGTCGAAGCTTGAAGGACAAACTGCGTTCAATCCCAACAGGAAACGACTCTGCAAGGGATATTTCAAGCCAGTGGACGATCTCGTAGCGGTATGGCTTTGTCACAGCAACAAGCAGTGCCAGAGGGAGTGCAAAAAAACATAGACTCTCTGGACAGCTTTTTTACTTTGTGCGCTTTAAGAGCGCCGGTGCAAATGAAAATTGCATATTTTTTTTCAAAATGAGAAAGGCAGCAACGTAACTGTTACGTACTTCGTATATATCGATGTACATGACTTTATAAATTGCATTTCACACTTATGACTCGATGTATGCTGTGTCCTATGCTGTTCTATATTCTAGTAAATATATTAAGTTTAGTGAACTTTCAGTTAAGTGAACTACTTCCTTGGGTCCCTTGAAGTTCGCTCAATTGAGAGTTTACTGCATATAATCATTGCCGTTGTCCATTCACTGAAGACAGTTGTCTCTGACAGCATATGCAATCGCAAAGGCAAGGAAACAAGAATCATACGAAGCAGACGAATAAAACAAATGACAGGAGGACACTTAAGACTGCATACATACAGGAATGATTCCTACACGTAAGCAGTCTTAAGAGCCGAAACGGGGACTTCCACAACAAGAAAATCTGCCAGTTTATCTACTGGTGGAGAAAGTGCATCCCCTCATGTGGTGCACATGTGAAGGGTAACCACACAACCAAAGCTCATAATCGCAGCTCACTTTCTTCGTGGAAATATTACAAACTTTATGACTGCCCCTAGTGACCTATTATGATTAAATGACAACCTTTTGCGATTACGAGATCACGTCACTTCTCCCACCATTGGGGTAACAAAGCTTTTACACAACTCCAGTACACAGCAACTATCACAATGCTACTCAAGGTCACTTTGCTGGCACAGTGGTACAGCACCGGATTATAGAGGTTGGTGGTTCGATCGATTCCTGCCGAAAGACAGTTTAAAGAATTAAATGTTATGATTGAAACCCCCTCATACCAGATATTTTTTTGATCCGTGTAATGTCCCCACTAAATTTACGGGGAAATTAATTAGCGTACAATTATACACCAATTCAGGTAAGATCACAAGTTACTGATCAGGTCAAAAGCGTTTTCCTAATAAATTTAGCGGGAAAACTGAATGGGTATATATACACCAATTAATGTTATATGACCCCATGACTGGACATTGTGACACGAGACCACACTATGTTACGTCGGGTCAGATGATGTGACGTGGCACAGTGTTAAGTCGTAGTGTCACGTCACGTCACACCAAGGCTTGACACCGTGATGTCACGTGACTCGAAATCGCACGACCTGGTCATATCACCTCACGTAACACCGGGTCATGTAACCAGTGGTGGTCTAGCCATTTCAGGTTTTGGAGGAATTTTATGAGCAAGAAAAATCCAATTTTGGAGCAATTTATATCATATAAACACCCCTTTTGAAACAAAGAAAATCTCGTTTTGGAGCACCGTGGTATCAGGAAAACTAAACATTTTGGAGCTGCACGAACAAATGGCAATTCTGTGCAGTTTTTTATTGGTGATACCAGTGCCCATTCATTAAATCAGATCGTGCAGCACATTAAAAACGCGCAAGCAGAAAAAAAAAAAAAATTATGTTTGCTCATCTTTAGGACTTAGCAGTGGCGATGCACAAATAAGCAGCCACAACGCCGCATATCACAAGGGTCGCAACAACACAATGCCCAATAATGCCACCTAGCTGGAAGACTGGATTGGATTGTGATGGTGATTTTCCACCGGGCTCCCAGTCGAAAACGCCACACCCACCGGGTCGCCAGTCAAAAACACAATTCTTAAAAAAAAAAAAAAAAAGGATTCGTTTAGAGATTGATTAGCTCTTTTTGGCGCAGTTTGGAGCAATTTGGCGCAATTTGTGTCTTTAGGAGCAGCAAGGCGCAGGCAAAGGGAAATTTATCAAAATGGCACAATTGGCGCAGCTGGACCACCCCTGTGTGACGGGTTGCTATCACGAGGCACCACAACTCAACGCCATAACGTTGCATCACATGACCGCGTCGCATGTTGGAGATAAAGGTCTCTGCCAAAATTTTGTAAGGATAAGTAGCTATCTTATGCTTTTGTCAGAATGTTTCATGATGCTCTCGGAAACTCATGTTAAAAGGAATGAGGCACCTGTGATAACTCTGTGCAGCATGGTGCGGATGAAAGTGGGGATGTGGGGCTCCCTTCCGGCATGCTCGAGCCAGCCCACCAGCTCGGCCACCTGGACACATGCCTCCCGCACCGGAGCCCGCCCTGCAGCCAGGGAGTCGGCCGGGGGCTCTTGCAGGGCCACCGGGAAGCTCCTCCACCCTTTCACTGCAAAGGGCCAGAAGTCCTGTCAAGATGGCTTGCAGGGGCAACACATTCGGCCACTAAAGCAGCTCACTGGCAAACAATTCTTAAAACACGCTTCCCAAAAGTTCGCTTAATTGCTGGAGTAAGCTCAAACGGCACAGACCTATGCTCTCGTCTGCCTTTCATAGCACTGCACGCAACTTGCCAAATGGTGAAAACCATCTCACAAGGTGGAAACTCTACGGATGAGAACTGTAGTCGGCGAGAGGTTAAGAGTAAAATGGAAGCTTGTCCCACCTCTTTCCACTTTAGCAGAGCATATGCAGGAGAGGAGGTGGGAGCAGTTTCCACTTTACTCTTAACCTCTCGCCGACTAAAAAGGTGTGCAAACCTTCCACTTTGAATAATTGGCAAATAGAGTTTTCTATTCAATTTGCAAGACAGTTCTTAGTCTTTACACCACCCAAGTTTGTTTCTTTTTTTTTTTTTTTTTTAATTTGAATATTAATAAAAGTGTGCGAATATGCTAAATTTTGACTATGAATAGAAAATGTTTAATATTAAATTTGTATTCAATTTTGAGAAATTGCTATTTAGCACTTCACAAATATTTTTCCGCAGTTGAATATTCTATAAAGTAACCAATATTTAAGCAAAGAATGAAAAAGCGCCCGGCGGGGTGTGCCACAAAAATGAAGAAATTGTAAAAAAAAAAACTTCATACGTCAATTTCATTTCTCTGGTAAGCTCAAGCAAAAAAACTGAGACGTTTACAAATCTCTGGAATGCGAAATTAAACACAGCTCTTGAGGTAGTTTGATTTTGCGATATACTGTGCTAAAGAATTTGAAGAAGGAATACCTGATATTCGTGCGTACATAATATAAATTATATATATATATAACTATACATAAATAAATTAATATTATTAGATAAATTATTTAATAATAAATATAAATTAATTATTTATTACATCTATATAAGGAGAAGGAGCGGAAGGAGCGGAAAATTTACGCCATGTGACATCAGCACCAATTCAGTTTCCTTGCTAAATTTAGCGGGGAAAATGACGTCCCATGGCTTCATGTCACGTCACCTATGAACAAATACAATTCCCCGCTAAATTTAGCAGGGAAACTGAATTGGTGTTGAGCTCATGTGGCATCAGTTTTATTGCTAAATTTAGCGGGGAAACTGAATGACCAGTGTTGCATTATGGGACGTCACAGACCTACACATCAATTCAGTTTCCTTGCTAAATTTAGCGGAAAAAATGACGTCCCATGGCTTCATGTCATGTCACCTATGAACAAATACAAGTCCCCGCTAAATTTAGCAGGGAAACTGAATTCGTGTTGAGGTCATGTGACGTCAGTTTTCTTGCTAAATTTAGCGGGGAAACTGAATGACCAGTGTTGCATTATGGGATGTCACGGACCTACACACCAATTCAGTTTCTTCGCTAAATTTAGCGGGGAATTGAATTGGTGTATAGGTATTTAGCATCACATAATGCAACGTGTGCGGTGACGGCGATGGCACCACCGCGAAACACGAGAACGAGTGCCTGAGAGCTGCGCTCTAAAACAAGTCAACGATACACGAGCCCTTGGGGTTCCTCCTTTCCCAGAAGGCAATAACGAAACCAAGGGGAGGGGTCTCCTTTTCTAGTCACTCAACGGGGCACGCTATGCTTTTCAAATCTTGTTTCAGAATTTTCTAAATAAAAAAAGAAAAGGGCAACTCAAAAATATATGAATGCAGCATGTGCATGACGACGCTATATCTTTGCGTACCTATGCTTTTGGGTATGGTCACCTAAAACTTGATATTATGAACAGCAGCAAAACACGTCTGCCTGATTTGAAAAGAAACAAAAAACATGCAGGGAAAAGCGAGCTGCTGACATGCGCACAATATTGCGCGTATCAACAGCAATCCTTAAAGGCAAAATATTGATGGTCATCGATTTTTATCAAATTTTCACCGTGCACTAAATATTCACCCCCGAGTATGTCTACCAACTATCTAATTAAAATATGCATTTTCTTGTGAGAAAATTAACTTTTAAGTTTTCACATACACCTCCGAATCACCGGCTGCCGCTCTACTGGCAACAACGAGCGGCGGCGGCACTGAGACCATTGTCACATCAAATGCTGTATCTGAGAGCAGACGCTCTCTCCTCTTCGGCGTTGTGAGTTGAAGCGATAGTGAGAGTCTATGGTTTTACGGATTGTGTCTGGTTTAGGCTATTTGCAGCATGCAATGGAGGGTGGAGGGAATCGGTGCTGTGCTGCAGGGTTCAATAGCACCACAAAGAAGGGCAGCAGTGACATCACATCGGTTTCTAATCGAGAAGTCTCTGCGACCGAAGTGGGTCCGAGCAGTTTGACATGAACGCTGGCTCCCAGCGTTCGAGTCGTGCTACAAAACAGTTCAAACTGTGCTAGCAAACAAAACCTTCCACACCACTCTACTTCTGAATCTACATCTGGGTCCACGTTTCGGCAAATTGCAAATGCAGCTACTACGGATGATCCCCTCAGAGGCGATGGCGGCGGATCGAATGCAAACGGCAAATCGCCTCAAATATCGTGCTAAAAACCTTGAAACATTTGCCGGTCATTCCTCGACCCAGACAAGTTCGATGAATCATAGTTCATTGTTTCCCACGGACGATCGTGACGGCCCTTTGACTGCTTAAGATGCTCGGCAAAAGAGGTTCAAGCGGCCTATGTGCTGGTGTTTATACAACATCCGACGTCACGACAAGATGGAAGACCAGTGAAGCGGCGAACCTTCACTAGAAGACCAGTGAAGGTTCGGTTTTATCGCATTTCTACGATTCAAACTTCTTTTAAAAGTTTTGGGGAAATTTATTCGCTACTCTAGGCTCAATTTCATGTGCTCTTTCAGAAAATATGTTTAGGTGAAAACAGCCATATTGGTTGCCACAGCTCCATTTTAAAGCGCGCCAGTTTTCATCTTTGCTTCTTTTGGACTTCAGTGGTTTGCAGAGGCGACCCTTAGTGGGCTCCGCATGCATCGAAGCAGAGAGTAAGAGGGGGACATCCCCCCGGCTGCTCACGCTGCGAGACGAGGTGGTAGATTGCTGCCGCGACCGAGCAGACCCAGCTGGCATGCTCGGGGAGGCCCATCAGAGAAGCCAGGCTCGGGCAGCTCAGCACACAGTCCAATGCTCGCAGGAAGGCCTCCAGCTGGCTGCATGAGAAGCGCTCCGGACTGTCCGTGGTCCACCGGATCGCCTGAAACCAATGGGTTACCGAGATCACTTCCACGGGGCAGCACACCAACAAATGATCCCAGGCACAAAGATAACAGGCAGCCCAAGGATACCATTCCAGGTTTTTCCAGTTTATTCCTGTCAAAATTGCCAGTTTTCGAAGGGTACAATTTTATTGCAAATTCTGCATTTATCCGAGTGTGCTTCCATTTAAAATCTACTTTCCAGAAATTTGGCACGCGGCGGAGTTTGGTTGTTCTACCGTAAAATACCGCAGAAGCGCCCACTTCGTCAAGCGCCCACTATTAACATGTTAAAACTTGGGAATTTGGCAAATTACATGTTACCGTAAAATACCGAGCAAGCGCCCACTCAAAATTATGGGATAATCGCGGAAAACTCGGGGATGGGTGCTTGTTAGGTCCGAGAGCAAAAACGCTGAAGGATCACATAGTCGGGTGGGCCCTTGCTCGGTTGACCGCCGAATTTAAAATGGCGGCCATTTGATGTTTGTTTTTGAAATCGTTCAAAAATAGGGAGTGGGCCCTTAATGTGACATGGGCCCATGCTCGGTATTTTACGGCAAGTGCCCGATTTGACCGGACAAGTGCCCAGGTCTGGATTAATCCAGTTTTCAGTGAAAGTGGGGTGGGTGCTCTGCCCAAAAATTAATTAAAGATAAAAAAAAAAAAAATTACACAGGCTTGATCATGCTAAGACCAGGGAGCAAAGGCTGCGTCCCGCACAAACCACACTCCACGTGTCGTTTGTGCTAGATTTCTCAATACATTTATTAACCATTTTTTCATTTATTTGGTTTTCATTTCATTTATTTTTACTTCATTATACTTTTATGATTTTTCTTTATTCGTTATTGATTGCATTTCTTATTTTTAAATTTTTTTTATACTTTTTTAAATTTTAAATCATTCATATTACTTATGTATTTGTTTTATTTATTTTTCTTTATTTTTATTCACAACCTGCTGCTGTCGGCAGCACTTTTGGATTCAAACAAAAACCCTGATCCAACCAAACCAGCTCAGTGGCCATAGCATCCGACTGCCACCGAGCAAACTTAGGTTCGAGCCCCACCAAGGGCTCGAACTTTGTATATAAACTTCTATAGGCTATCTAACACTCCCAGCGTGTCACTTGTTATGACGCTCGTTCATGGCAATTTTATCGTAGAACATGTTGCATAAAACACACATTCTCTGCTAAAAGCTAATTTAATGGAGAGCAATATTCACGAGCAATCTGCACGACCATAGCCGTCCACCGCCATAAAAACACAAACACCTCTTCACTTGCAGGAGGTCCAAACGGTACAGCCAAAACTCGAAACACTGGCTAGAACGATCCCATAATTTAAATAAAAAAAACAAAAAAACCCTAATCATTAAAAAATATATTGAAATTTTTAATTTTTTTATTTACAAGTTACAAACATGCTCTAATTACTACACATTTATGAAGATACATTCACCCAAAGTTTCATATTCAGGCTGTTTACAAGCAGGTTTTGTAAACCTTTTCCTATTTTCTCAGAAATAACTTTTAATCGCAACATAGAGTTTTGCCCTCATCTCTTTGGATCTAGAATTTGCATCTGAATACTTTTTTTCGAGGTTGGATACCTTATAAATCAGAGAATGAAACAAGACCAAGATTTTTTAAAAATGTTAGCGACAAGATTTCCTAATTGGCAAAAATTCGCCTTCATACTTTGCATAATGTTGACCGATGCAGAATAGGTTGTGTCTTGATGTCGACCTGTGTCGATCTGTTGCGTCTGTTTTGCCCATTATACCGTAGGTGTTTTGGGGTAATCTGTTAGGAAATGAGACATCAACACACGTCAATCTTTGTCATTCGGCTTTATGCAAAGCACCAAGGTAAGCTATAACTAGGGTTCTGTGTTTTTAGGGGGGTTTATTTCTCTTCAAATTCGGCGGTGTTTTTTCTAGGTTTATGTTTTTCCAGAGATTCAGTGTCAATATTGGATGTTGGACAAAGATTGGTACTTACTGGCGTTTATGTTGCAAAAATAAATAGAGGTCACGGGCATACAATTCCCCAACCTCCAGGTAACATGCGCACAACCTCAAAACTTGAAAGACGTTCCGGTACCAATGAGAGAAGAAAACGGGACAGTAGGCATTGCTCCCAAAAAGAAAAGCAGCCGCAGGGATAGTTCAGTGGGAGCCATGTTTCCCATCGATACAAAATAAAACTCTAGCAAAAGATTTCTTCCTGTCAAACTTGGGCTTTCTCATTCAAGAACATCTCCAATTCGGGTCTTTTTGGTTGTGCCCGATTTTGATAAAACGAGCGGCCCTGTCTTGGCGGATCTGAGGACGACCTCTCGTAAGACACGGAAAGCAACCGATGCTGCATCAGCTCAGATGGATGCACCGAGAAATCGTTGTCGACTGAAAGCGATTGAGTGAAGCATGCTGCACGGTGTGTTGTGAGCTCTGCCTGCAAGTAGAGCGGCAATCTGCCATATTTGTTGTATCTTCCGTGTTCTATTTTACCTTTTCTTTTACTTAAAGTAATATTTCGTTGCTGAAATTTTGTAACATTTAGTGTGCTTCAAACCTAAGCACTCCCCTCTCGTGAATCATTGCGAATTTGAAAAACAAAAGGGGTGCTTAGAATTGAGTAAATATGGTAGTTTAGTACAAAGTGTCCCACAATTTTGTTTCGTTATTGCGATCTCGGATATTAGAGTTTTTTGGACAAATCACATTTGACAAATATTTCATAGGCCAGTGGTTTCCGGAGTGAATCCCAGAACTCTGGAATACCCCTGTTACATGAGCAATCTCAACTGTCGTTGAACTCACTACATTTGACTGAATCGTGATCTACCAGAGTTACACGGCAGCACCAACTGTCATTGAACTGCTAAGGACAGTTGAACTTGACTGAGCTCGCCGAAGCCAGTTGAACTGAGTGGACTTGGCCAAATGAGTTCAAGATGGCGGCTTCTATGGTCATGCCAAAGACACCCAGCATTGGCAACACACTTTCTGCTTTGGAATGCAGATGGAGGTGTCCGGACACAACCGTAGCAGCGAATATTGTGGGAGGGAGCATGTTTAGAGACCAGAGCTGCTTTTAAAATGCTTCCACCAGGAGGCAAAAGCCTTCACTCTATGAGAGCCACCATTGGCGATGTCGGCAGAGATGCGGTTTGTAGTGTTGTGCGAATATTCAAATATCTGGTTGTTTCGAAATAATGCGCTATTCAATATTCGCTTAGAGTTGAACTGCAATATTTATACTTTTCGAAGTGGTGATCGCGGTGAGTTAGCCCCGTCGAGAGCGCTTCTCGCAGTGCACAGATGCTCAGCAAGAAGCGCATTCAACGGAGCTAACCCGCCAAGATTATGTAAAAGTACATGCTAGGGTGAGGCAGCAATGTCTCACAGCCCATATTCATCATTCATGCCCGTTTTTTTTTTGTTTTTTTTTTTGGTCATATTTAAAACAGAAGAATGAATATTTGCATACAGCAAGAAGACTGATAGATCCCCTCAATTGGGATAGCTGTGACAAATATCATTTACATGCCACAGTTCATGAATATAGTTATATTAAAGCTGATTGCGCTTAGAAGTGGACGAGTGGAAGGTTGGAAACAACCTTCACAAGTTCAGCTGATGTTTTGTTTAAGCATGGTGCACGATAGCGAAAGAATTGGAAAAACTATTCGAGATTTGATTCATAAATATTCAGCCAAAAACACTATTCATTTCAAATTCGCTTCGAACTCAAAATCCCTTATTTGCACACGCCTAGTAGTTTGCATTACGTCTCTTTCGTTCAAAAAGTTTCTTCACTTCAAAAATAAAGAAAGACATATACATCTCATTCCACACAAACAATAAACGGCACGCCTCTATACTCAACAATTTAAAAAATGCCAGATTTTGATTCAGCTGGGATCCATCTCCTATGAGTGGAACGCTCCCTTGCAAGGGTGAAACCAGAGTGCTGCAGAGCTGCTCACCTCGGCACAGAGCACGGCAAACCTGACAAGGTCCTCGAGGCCATCCATGGGGACGTCGGCCGCCAGTGAGGTGAGGCCCTCCAGGTAGGCCGCCGTGGGTGGGGCCAGGCGGCCCACGGCATCCCAGAGCGGGCCGTCCGCCAGCAGGGCAGCCAGGTCCCTGGGGCACTCTGCAGCCGCTAGCTGGGGAACTTGCGCCACAAGCCGCCGCAGTCGGCTCAGCACGCTGGACCGGGCCGCCCGGTACAGCGCCGACTCGGCCGTGCCGCACCGCTGCGCCCCCAGCCGCAGGCTGGCACACACAATGGCGGGGCTCACGTCCTGCGTCCAGAGCACCCGGGTCGCCTCAAGCGTCGGGCCCAAAGCGGCTGCCGTGCCTGGAGTGCGTCTCCGACCCACGTGTTTAGCGTCCTACACCACCCGTGCATTCAAAGCGGTCCCCAAGGGGCAAGAAATGATGCTCCAGAAACTGGCATGTCATGCTAGAGAGTCGAGATACTCAAACCACGGAAAGCATTGGCAATTTAATGGCGGATGTATCTCCTGCACAGATTGTCACTCGTGAGCGTGCGTGCATTGCCACACAGAGAGGATAGCAAGAGGAGGCTCAGCAAAGCTTGAAAAGGCTTGCAGATGACTGACACTTTCGCCTTCCCCTCGCATTATGCATTCCAAACGCATCCCATTAACTATGTGACCCCAAACTAGCAGTTCAAAACTCTCAAATCTAGGCACACCGGTCAGGCTGTCAGATGTGGCCATCCCGGTCGTAGGAGTTCCGGCAAAGAAGACAAAACCAGCATAATTGTCACTGCTGTCTGCAGCGTCCCAACTTTTTCCCACAGGAGCTTCTATGGACTGTCGAGCTGAGAGCAAGCGTGGCAGGCAACAGCACATTCTATGATGTGATCAGGCAGGAGACTTTCTTTTATGAACCATATACTGCTGATTGAACTGTGACAAACCTCAATCCCTCACTTAGCCTTAGGCCATAGCAGAACGAGCCCACCTTGCTTCTCTGTCCCTAGCTAAATTTTGTACTCTTGCGAGGCATCTTGAGAGGCATTGTGAAGACTGACTGACTGTACACTTTGCGGTTTCTAGGCGGTAGCTTACGCCATCTAGCAAAGAAACAATAAAGTTTGCAAAAAATTATGTCTCTCGTCAAATCATCTACCTCATCAATTTTGTGTATTATCACGCTTATCTGGACCTTCTCCACAAATCACATAACCTACTTTTTTGTGATTCTAATCCTTTGTTCCTACGTTCTTCCATCCTTGCAAGCAATACCCAGCGCTCTCCCCAAATCCGTTACCCCTTTTGGGAAGGCAGGACAAAGCCCTATGCACTTTAAAACCAAATTTTCTAGAGTCTCGCTATCACTATGGCATACGGCACATATGTGTCTATCTCTTGAAATTTCACCCTATACCGTATTTACTCGCATAATGAACACACCCCCACAACAGGCATCAATATTTTGACTTTTTTTTTTTCTCTCGCACCTCCAATTTTCGGCTCCTTGAGTCTCGAACTGCGTCCAACTCAGCCAGCCACCGAGACAATTTTCTTTTGCTCCAAGCGGCCGGAAAAGCCAAGTCAAGCATAGCAGTACAGGAGCGCGTAATGACTGCAAGTGCGTAGTTGCAGAACCGATCACCAGTAAAACCAAGCAGCACCTAACAAAGCTGGGATCGAGGAATCGCCCAGCCCCGGACATGTTTCGTCCGTCGGATGCATTGATGTCAACAAATATGCCTTCATCTGTGGTCTGTTTTCAGACAGTGAAACTGTGAAAGTGGTTAGACCTAAGAACGGTCGTGTTGCTCTCTGTGCTGAGTCAGGCTCTTAGGGCGCTTTTCCTTCGGCAAAAGGCACACCGAAAACACCCTAAAAAGATTCGCAATTTAAAGAGCATGGTTACTGTGGCGCACCCACAACCAGTCGCAGGTGCATTTCCGTCAGTGGAGGTTTGCCACAGTACCGTGCCATGTCATATTAGCAGCTAAAATGACGTTTGCGCAAAGTGTGTAAAAGCAAAAATTTTATCTTCTGTGATAAACGCACTCCCCCAACTATGTGTAAATTTTTAGGAAAAAAAAGTGTGTTCATTATGTGAGTAAATACAATATATCTTTGTCCAAACACTGAAGAGCTTTCTCATGAATTATCAAACACCTGTTCCTTTCTTATGTCCTGTTTTTGTGAAGCAAATTGAGCAGCTCTCGCAGATATAGCGAAAACAAAAGAAAGTTTTTGAAGACGCAGACCGGTCACGCTTCACTGCTGCCGCCGAGCAGCCACCCAGAACAGGCAGCAGACGATGCTGCAAAATGTACTACAGGTTTTACTTGAGCTAGTTGGTACATACTTGAATATGGTCAGCTGAACAATTACAAATTAGAAAAAACCGTGAGAGAAAATACATACACACCGCTGACTATCAACTAATTTTAACAACATCACCATTTTAGGGCGGCACCGGAACGCATATGCATGTGAACTAATTGAAGCTCTGGCCATCGAAGACAGTGCTCAACTGTGCGTGAGCACCCCGTCTATCACAATCCACCCGAAAGAAAAGCAACACTTGGGACGTGGCACGAGCCGCATAACACCCCATCGCGCGGACATGGCGGATGGCTCTCATCACTAGCTGTAGTAAAGGGAAAAAAAGGAAGACGAGGTATTAAAGGCAGCAAGTTGATAGTCAGCGGTGTGTATGTATTTCCTCTCACGGTTTTCTCTAATTTGTAATTGTTCAGCTGACCATATTCAAAGATGCTGCAAAGGCCGGCGTCGGCGGCCTCTGCATCGTCGTCTGCTCCTTGCTGCTTATCGAGACGTTCGGCTGGCACTAGTGCAAACGGTGAGGACACGAGTTTTATTTGAACACCAATGCACTACTCGCGTGATGGTCTCCCATTTGAGGAGTGCCAACAAACTGGAAACAGTTAGGTGCCAGCCATATAACACATTTTGTGTTAAAAATAACTATGAATGCTTTTCAACAGAAGTCCCTACTTCCAGCACTTTGTCCATCCATGCATCTGCATAAACCCCATGGCATGGCCACCTCAGCACAACCATCACATGACCTGCTGACGTCACGTGGCATCACGTGGCATCACGGTGTCACGTCATTGTGTCATGTGACACCATGACTTGACCACATGACACAACACCAATTAAAAAACATGTTCTTCCAAATGACCAATTGATGTCTTGTATAAATGTTAAATACCGCATTTTGTGCATTATAAGACTTTGGAGATAAAAGTCACTTCCAACTTATTTTTCAGAAAGCTCTTGATTAGTGGAGAGAAACCATGGCCACAAGATCCACAAAAAACGCTGACCAACCTTCAGTTGCAAAATGGCCTGAGCATCTTCGTAGCCCAAGTTGGCCAGCAATTGAGAGCATTCCATGGGCCAAGCTTGTCCTGAACAGCAGCGCTCCCGCACTTGGCACAGAAACCATTCCTGAGAGAATACAGAAAAAAGGCCAAACATTTTTGGTTAATTTGTTCAAGAAAGTGGGAGCGGGTTACAAAGATTTTCTGGCAATAGCACTACACCAACAAGCAAAGGCACACATACAAGGACCAGTGCTAGACCTTGTTGCATGTGTGCTTTTATTGTGTGTGTTAATTGTGTTTTTAGCTTTGTTCTCCAATAATGAACCAACTCACATAATAAACCAACACCCAAGCTTTTGCTCATTGGAAGTCAGGCTCTTAGTGAGCCTGGACATACACACATAACACTCAGAAATAGGAGTTTCGACCCTTCACTTCAAGTTCTGTTGCAGATAGAGACAGTTGAACTTTTAAGTGCCGCAACATAGCTTCAAGTCAAATCACGCACTCGCATTCATATTATCTGTCGATGCACATGGGCATCCTGCTAATGGAAAAAGAAACATTTAGGAGTGCAGATAAATGCCGCTGTATTTTCAACAGGCAACAACATTTAGCAGCTTTTTCTTTCAGCACATCTAGTAAAGACGATGCAAGCTCAGCAAGCTGCCCTAGAGACACTGCACATTCCCAGAGTACTGCATTCCACGGCGTCTGCTTGACCGGAAGTGTTGAGCCAACCGAGCTTTCTGCTTGGTTGGCAGATTTCGGTGGAAGACATGAAGGATATCGGCCATATTAGTGCCAGCAAAACATTATACAGGCTTGATCATGGTGACAAAGACCAGGGAACACAGAATGTGCCCCGCTCAAACCAAACTGCGTGTGTGGTCTGTGCTAGATTTTTCATCATTTTTATCATATATTTTTATTTATTTATTTTTATTTTATTGATGTTTTGAAGTTTAAGGCCCGTTCACACTCTTGCGACCTCTTCTAACTGGGTTCCTTAAAACCTCTTACAACGAGAGGACACACCGGCACCATCTATTGGGTAGCAGTGTAAACTTGGCGGTCCTTCATATTTTCTATTTCTCTCGCGCATTATCCTTTCTTTCTTGGCTCGAAAAACTTTTGTGAAAGTTATAAACGAGCCTTTCTCATAGGTATTACGCACATTTGACCTCGGAAATCCCACAAAACCTTCGCTCTTGTGAAATGCAGTTCCAGGGTCATCGCATAGATGGCGCCAGTGTGTTCTCTCATCCTAAGAAATTTTAAGAAGTTTTAACAGACCTCGTTTCTCTCGGTCATACTCAGTTGCAAGAGTGTGAACGGGCCTTTACATTTAAGTTTGGATTTCAGTCAACAAAAATTGAAAGTGTGCAAAGAAATCATGAGCCATTCCACTCTGTGAAGGTGGATGACCAGCGAAGTTGTTCAGCACACGACACAGACCCACCCTGAGGAGCCGGAGGAAACTAGACACGCGACGGGACAGCCACCCGGCGGAAAGTAGACACGTGCGATGGGACCACCACCCCAGGAGAGCGGAAGGAAAGGAAACTAGGCACACAACTGCTTGGAACCAAAACAAAGAGAGGGCAGTGCGAGCATAGACATGGCCGACGTGGGTCGCACAGCGGCATATCTTTGAGAAGCCTTTTTTATCTATTGGAGAGTCTACTGATCTTGAAAATGGTGCCTACTGAATAGACCTACTGCTAAATTACCCAAGCATCAGGGAGAATGCAGGGAATGGTGTTCCATGCACCGCACGTGCCGGCGTCTGCAGCAGTAACTGTTCTAAAGCAAAAGGCTAAAACAAATGGCATCTTGCACGCACATTCGCCAACGCTTTATTTTGGTTATTTACTTCAAATATTTTATACGGGAAAGGCGTATCGTGCGGCGTTGGTGTCTGCAGCAGTAACTGTTTTAAAGCAAAAGCCTAAAACAAATGCAATCTTGCATGCCCGTTCATCAACGCTTTATTTTGGTTATTTACTTTGAATCCTTTATACGGGAAAGGTGTGCACGCACGGCGGTGCGAGCATAGTTTTTAGTCACTCTACACGAAAAATTCGCGAAAGCCTAGCCATAAACAGCTTCGCTGTAGAACACTTAATACGCATTGTTTACGACCGCTACCTTCAGCACTGCTTTTATTTTGATTACAACGTTCTTCTAGATAAGTTCTTGCTGAGGCCATTCTCTGACAGAACAGAATGTGACTTGATTTTTTGCACAAGATAGTAAATGGAATTATAGATAATGATTTATTTTTATCCAATGTTAATATCTATGTCCCCTCCCATTTGACTAGGAATCGCGCTACTTTTTATGCCAATACCATATGCAGACCTTCACGCTTGTCACATATGCAATCACTTTTCAGTCACTTTGACAATCCAGGTATTGAAATATTCAGTGATTTTTCTGTTTACCGCAAGCAATTGCAAGGGTCGCAACCAATCTGTATGCCTGTTTCATTTATTTTAAGTTAATTTGGCGCTTGCTTGTTCTTTGTGCACCAAAGTTAAGACCTTCGGGTTGTTCTTGGGCACACGAGAATAAAGATTATTATTTCTATTTTTATTTTATTTTTTTACCATGATATTATGAGAGATCGCCCACCTAAAATCAATCAAAAAAAAGTCGGCTGCCTTTCGGTGTATAATCAAGAAAAGTTGAAAAATGCTTTTTTGAGGTCATGTGTCCCTTCCAAGCTTGTTATGGTGTCGATCGGCAACGAAGCAAAGATGACTATACTTCCCAGTCAGCAACGTTTGCTTATATCTCGCCATAGCTAACTAGCCGCATTTACGCCGAGACCATATCATTGATCCCAACACTACATGACTAGAAATGGGCTATTTTTCAGCGTTTATAAAAATATAGCCATCAAACCAGAAATAGGGGTGGGCTATCTTTCGGGGGTGGGGCATCTCTCGGGATTTTACAGTACTTATTTTTTCTTTTGTTATTTACTTTATTGTAGCGTGAGCTACACTGGGCCGAGGTTGCGCAGTTTCGCGTGGCTCGCATAATGAGCCGTGCTCCGTGCTGCGCAAGCTTGAGGAGCAGTGACGTCACACGGTGCACAGCTGGCGCGCCGGAGCCGCCGCCGCCGCGCGCTCCGCCGCCACCGCGCGCCTCGCCGGTCTGCACATTCCAGAGGAGTGACGTCATAGCCGCGGCAGACGCAATGGCGCCGTTGCGTGCCCAGCTGTGCGCCTCCGTTGCGCAGTAGCCAAGTCTGACGCTGCACCGGAGCTGCTTGATAGCGCCTCTCATTTTGTGCGCATAAGCTCACGCTACGTATATCCTGGCATAGCCGAGCTAAGCCACCACAATTTTTTTTTTAGATATTTATTTAATTTGTCTATTATTTTATTATTTCTATCCTAGACCTGCCCTTCTTGCCAGCGCATTTGCATCCAAATAAAATAATTTTCCCTTGCAAACCAGGTGTGCTAGCAGCTCAGTGGCTACAGTATCTGACTGCCATTGCAAAGACCCAGGTCCTTGTGCACTCGTGGGGCATTGCAACAAGTATGAAAGAGCATTGTAAAATAGACCAATTTGTCTCCTGCGAACCACTGATTGCAAGTAACAACAAGAATATCATGTGCGAAATCTCCTTTATTTAAAAAGAAAATTGGAGATCACAAAAATGCCATGTTCATAGGGCAGACAAATACTTTTTGCAACTTGTATGACTATAGTGGTACAGTGTAGACCGCATATAACGTATGTCGCGGGAGTCGCGAAAATCCTCACTATAAGCGGTACCGCGCTATAACCAAAACATCAATTTTTCAGGCCAAAATGCATGCCATTACACAACTAACCTTTGTAAAAGAATTTATTTTATGTTAGATGAAAAATAAAGCTTAGTTTGAGGAAAGTTTTTATCTCACCAGACTAGTACACTTTTCTCTCAAGTGTATCACACATTTTGAAAGAAATGAGCGACTTTTGCCTGGCGCAGCCTTTTAACGGCGTCGCGGGTTGCGGACGGACGTTGCGAGCGTTCAGGATTGCTAACCCTAATCACTTTTCTCCGGCAATGAAAACGCGTGAAAATTCGCATCCTTCATACGGTACGCACCAGTAATACCTTCAACTTGAGCACACGCATGAAATGCTCCAAATAAGAAATTCGGGCGATGTTCGAAAACACAAATGCTTAGAAAGCACCACTGTAGTCGAAGTAAACAAACACGACGACACGGGCGTTTCTGCAGTCTTGAGAGCGCCGCCATAACATCGCCGCACGAGTAGGTGGATCTTCCCTTCTAGTACGTGCTGAGTTATCATAGCGACACGCAACGAAAATTCACAGTCAAGGATAGCACTTTCACGCGGAACGATGAGATTCTACCACGCCATCAACGTCGACGATCGAAACCGACGCGATGTTTGCGGACAGAAGCAGCCGGCCGGCCGGCCCGCGACCGGCATGCAACGCGCGCGAACACTTCTCCTCGACCTGCGATTGGTCTGTCGTTGCGGTTGTTTCCAACGCAGTGGAAGGACGCACACACGTGAACGACACGTGCGTGTGTCCCTCCGTCGCTATGGCAACTGAAGCCCCTCTCTTCGCTTCTCCCCGCTTCTTCGAGAAACCTCTTTGCCCCGCGAGTGCCGCTTGCGGCTCGCGCCGTTATCTAGTGTCGCACAGGGAAGCGTGCTCTCTGCGTCGGTCAGTCGGCGCGGTCGCCGGGCTGTTCCGAAAACCGCACTATAACCGGTATTTCCCTTCGCGCGCCTGCATTTTAAGCGGTATGTAATTACATGGAGTTCTATGGGAGGCGAACCGGTGGTTTAAAAAAGCCGCGTTATACCCGGTTATGCACTTTAAGCGGTTATGTTGTAAGTGGTCTATACTGTATACATTGTTACAGAACCTTGGCAGTTGCATTCTACACACCTCAGAGCATAAGCATGCCAAATTTGGTTGGGATGGGACTACGTGAAGTACAAAAATTCTTGCACACAAACTTTGGAGATGACTCAAAACAACAAAAGGAAAAAAAAACAAGCTTGAATGTTATCATGGATGTGCACCAGTAAAAGAGTGGCTTAGTTGACATAAAATTTGACCACAATGCATGCCAG